TTCTGTTATTTTCGAGAACAAATGAGATTACGGAAACATCAAGAAACCGCGGGCAAATAATCTATCCGTTTTCTACTGTCCACTCGACGCCAACATTTGAAACGGTGCCAGTCCTACATTACATTCTTTACTCGGGCAAAGCCAAAATTTATAATCGCATTATGCGTCGCAATTCGACTATAAAATCAATAACCCGCCAGAGGAAAAAGATTCTAATGAGAAAAATACAACAACGAAAACTGAGAAGCTCGGCGTGAGAAATGAATTTTCTGGAGAGAACTCAAGTGATATCATATGGCTCTCTAGGAAATTACTCTTCAAACTTGCAAGAAAATCCCCCCAAGCTGTTGTAGAACTAAAATATGAAGAAGCAAAGACAAATATTAAATAATAGTAATTTTGCGCCAGAATAACTGGTACAATCATGCGTTTTGTGCAAACCAGTCTAGCTAACGCTTGTTCAACTCTCCAGGGGAACCTTGCTGCTAAAAGTGTCCACTGCATTACAGCCTGATAAGCAGAGGAATTTTTGTAATCCCCGAGTTATTAATTTTGGCGCCAGAACTTATAAGTTTCTTCCCGTGAGGTCTAGGTAAGCGTGGGGACCAATTCATAAATAGGCAGAGAGCATTATTCTGAAATTTCAACTTTCTAGTTTTTATGATTTTCCAGTTAATTTTTGCGCCAAAACATGAGACCGCGATAAGACTGTTTTTAAATTTATGGGGTCGTACGAGGGTGGGGAATATTCTTCAAAAATTTCAGCCTCGTATTTTTTGTAGTTCCCGAGTTACTAATTTTGCTCTAAAATTTTCAACTATCTGCAAATGAGACCTCTACGTGCGCGGAAAATGAATTTATACATGGGCAGGACGCATCATCCTAAAATTTCAGCCTCCTAACTTTTGTGGTTACCGAGTTATAGATTTTGGAGCCAAAATTAATAACTCGGGAACCACAAAAGTTACGAGGCTGAAATTGCCTGAGAGAGCGTGCACAACGGATGAATTTATATACCAGCAGGAGCATTATTCTGTAATTTCAGCTTCCTAGCTTTCCCGGTCCCCCCGTTATTAATTTTGACGCTAAAAATTTCATGTGTCGTTCCGTGAGATCTAGGCATGCGAGGGAGCAAAATCTGAGTTTGCAGGGTCATACTCAGACAGTGGACACTCTCCAAA